GAAATGTTCAAGAAAATGATTTGTTAGTGTCCCTTGAAACACTTTGTAGTGTTTCTTTGTGTTTCCGGGATTTACATTTTATAGCACTTCTTTATTTACGAAACTCTAACTCCCAATGAACTTTTGATCTCACCAAATATGTTCCCCTTTGATAAATATTTTGTTCTTGTGATTAATGAATGAAAATGTTAATTTCAATCAACAAAAAATACAATATAACATCTGTTTCTCTACTTTCTCCAACTGCTACTGACTGTGGTAAAGATGGCCGCTATAATACTGAAAAAAGCTTAATGCGTTATTCAAAAAGGCATCTGAAATTTCGATAAAATTATTTGTTTCCAACTCGTCGTGTTCTTGAGAGAATTTAAACGCGTCATCTGAGCCAGTTGATCATCTTCTGACTTACATTATTTCACCGGAGTCCTGTTATCTCGACTGTTCGTCATTTCGTCTGTCTGTAAAATCCTTTGTAGCACATTCAAAACCAAACTCATTGTTAGATTTTATTAGAATCTGCGGTGAAGTTCATTCGTGCCATTAAAAAGTATGCATGTATAAAGATTTTTTAGTTAATGCCATATTTCGTAAGTACCATACTTTCTAGGGAGTGTAGAACTTGACTTAAAACGTAAGACGAACCTGTAGAATTTCGGCAATTTATGATCTTCTAAGCCAGGACATGAAAATACATACTTACAAAAAACTCCGTTTCACTTGTTCTGAGTCCTAAAAAATACATTTGTATAAAGCGACGCAAAAAATTCTATCAAAGCAGATCTAATGCAGCGCCAAGGGGATATATGGTTACAAAGAAATTTCAGTTACAACGCACTAACAAAAAACTCGCAGTTAAACATTCTACTAGAATCTAAGAGTGAATATTTGTACACAGTTGAACATTAGCCCTGAAAAAGAAAACGAAAAGAATTAAAATGTTCAATGTATAAAACTGAGGGTGTACATTGCGAAACTTGTAAGATTTAAGCGGTTTGATGATTAACATTTTTGTGAGAATATATTCACGTTTCAATTCGAAAATGAATAGTAATTGTGTTTCGTTAAAAACGTTCTGGAACCATAGGAGCGACGTAAAAGTAGTATGTATACTCACCCTTAGTGATACAATATTGATTTTGTAATCTCCAAAAACTGTATAAAAATCAATTTTGCAACAAAAATTAAAATGCAGAAAAGGGCGTGGCAGAAGTAATAATAATAATAATAATAATAATAATAATAATAATAATAATAATAATAATAATAATAATGCTAAAACTATAAATCTGCGAGGTTGGAGCTAACTGATTCTCTTGCATTTAATTTATAAAATAACACTATTGAACGTGTCGCCAATCCGAGAGCTAAGTTGGACCCGAGTGGAATAAAAAATCCAATTAACTGATACTCTTGTGTCCTGAAAATCCGACTTGTTGGGCGCAACGAAGTCGAGGGCAGTCACGCCTCTGCAGGTGCGTGTTACCTGTCAATTCGTTCCCACTACCTCGGAATCAAAATATATCCCCCTTTGAATTCGGTTCAAAAAGAAAATTAAAGAAATCCTCACAAAATCCGAAACGGAATCAGATCTGTGCAGGTAAATCAACAAATTATGAGCTAACTGGTTCTATTAAATCTTAAAAATCAAAATATCGACTGGTTTTCACTTCAAAAGGCAAAATTAAAGATTTTACGAAGCCGAGTAGAGTTGTATCTGAGGACGTCCGTCTACAATAACAGAGCTGCCCATTTTTCTCATGTCAAATGTCGAAGTATGTTGGACTTAACATTAAATGTGAAAAAGATCATGACAGGAGTGTAAGCGAGCAGTGTCGATAGTCATCTAACTCCGTATTAAAAATCTAAGTGTATTTAAATTTGCTTTCAATTCAATAGACAAAATTAGAGTTTTCGCAAAAATGAACAACGACGTACCTAGGGGTTCTACGTACGTACAAATCTGGCGCAATCAGTTCTCCCGTGCCAAAAATCAAAGTACGATCAAATTTTAAAACCGACCGACTTTTTGTGCAAGCGCGCAGAATCGCACCTGATTACGTCTACAAAAACTCAGTTTACTAGTTTTGTATGAAAAATCAAGGCTGGTACGATTCAAACAAAATTAGAGTTTTCTCCAAGGCAAGCGGAGTTGCATTGCAGGTGTACGGTTTCTGAGTTAACTAGTTCTATGTGAAAATTCAACATTATTAGACTTAGAATTCAATCAAAAACAAGATTACTGTTGTAGCGCAGGTGACCGGCGTCGCATTTCAGGAAGCCTACAAGGATTCCAGGTAACTAGTTCTGCTTGAAAATTCTAAGATTTTTTTTTAACTTCTTTAAGGTTGCTTTTCAACTGCTTGTACTGACCACTGTAATTTAACATTATTTTAAAACTTTGAGGTAACGGTAGCAGAAGATACGTACGAACACACACAATCATCCAAGCCCTGAACGGGATTCAAACCCGCGACACAAGCAAAGGTAGCCACGGCCCTTCATCCTTAGCGTCCTCGATTAAAAATTCTAAATTTTGTTAGACTTAATATTCAACCAAAAAACAAGAATGTAGTTGTGCCGTCGTCAAGCAGCGTCATACCTGATCAGGTTTACAAAACCTCGGTTAACAAGTTGTGTGAAAATTTCTCGTTTGTTAGACTTAATATCCCCCCCCCCACACACACACACACACACACACAAAAAGAAAAAAAAGTGTAGTTTTGATGCAGGGCAGAAAAAGTCGGCGTCGTACCTGAGCAGATCAACAAAAAATCGGTTTACAAGTTCTGCTTGAAAATTCTAAGTTAGTTACACTTCACATTAAAAGAAGAAGAAGAAGAAGAAGAAGAAGAAGAAGAAGAAGAAGAAGAAGAAGAAGAAGATGTCGGGCGTCGTACCTGAGCAGGTCTAGCGCGGCGCCCATGCCAGGCGAAGGCGAGGCGCCGCTGGCGGGGGCGCCGCCCGCCGGGCCACTCTCCACAGCGTCACCAGCACGCTGAAGCTCGAGTCGCTCTGGCCCATGGGGGGGTTGTGGCTGCGACCTCCGCCAAGCGCTGCGCCGACCCTGCCCTGCCCTGCCCTGCCCGGCTCGGCTCGGCTGGGCTCGCCTCGCGTCGCGTCGCGTTGCGCTGCTCCCGCGCTGGGCTCGCCGACGACGCTTCCTCGCCGGCTGCAGCGCGGGCGCGCGCACGGGGTGGGCGAGGGCGAGGGCGCGGGCGCGGGTGGGCGAGAGGGTCGGCGGCGGCCGGCCAATGGCAGCTGGAGGCGCGGACGCGCGCGCGCGCGTCCTCGAAGACCCTTCCAGCGCCCTCCCCCACCCCCAGCGGTGGGGGGACCGGGAGAGGTGGCTCACGTCACTACAGTGCCTCTGACCGGGAGGTCCTAGGCTCGAGTCCCGACGGTGGCGGGATTCGAGCTTTCAGCTAGGTCCAAGTCAGTCGCTGTCTGGAGGAGACTTCTAACGGCCGGCTGCTCTGATCGGTAGATTTCTGTGGCTTCCCCGATCAATACCGGGCGAATTACGGAGCGTTACCCTAACAAACTGGCCACGGACGCGAGCGATCTTCTTTTGCCTTCCTTGTGCATTCCTCACCCCTTACTTACACAGACTTACACTTACACGCACTACACAACCACATGGCGGGAGACCGGTCGGGAGCTTAGAGCTTGTCCCGGCTGGGGCGGTATCCCGCTCGTGAGAGATACCTGGTTGAGGAAAACCCCTTAGCCGACGCGCAGGTCGACGCCAGTTCCCACCATCCAGCTGGAGATTACAGCCGTCTCCCGCGATAAAACATGAACTACAATTACGGGACTGTAATCTTAGCCGTTGTCGCGCCCGGAATCACTAATCAATTAACCTAAGAAGGGAGACGACGACGGAGGCGACGGAGGTTTTTGTCCGGTTCCGTCGGCGAGTGAGTTGCCTCAGATCCAGTGCTGCAGTTTCATTTGTTTACCGACATTTAGACGCTGCGATCATAGAGAAACACGAAACAGCGCTACAGAGCTGAGTGAAGTTATAAGATTGAGAAGTGAAAGGTGCGATAATCAACTACTTTCTTAATTTTATTCTTTAAATGGAAATGAACTAGAAAAAACACTTTGCTTTGGAAATTTTCTTTGCCGGTATAGAATCTGTGCGTAATTAATGTGAAGGAAGAAACTCGGAGGAGTGTTTTGAAGTGAATTCATCTTTAACTTTCAAGGTAATTATTAATTCAGTTAATAATTCGGGTAGATATTCTACAGCTCAGATCAACTTGTACAGATTGTACTTCTCCCTTGTACGTTTTAAAATATTTGTGTACGTTAAGTAAACAAATAAATATTTAAACACAAAGTAATGTGTTTCTCTTCTGGCAATTTAAACTCGATAAGCAGGGGATTTATTATCATAGTGGAAAAACAAGGATTTTGCATTTTAAAATTCCACAAGAGTTCAACAAAACGAGAAATGAACGGTATAGGTGACATTTTATCAATTCTGAGAAAAAAAGGGTTTATTTTAGTTTGCAGAACAAATAACTTTCGTGGCTTTAATGAACATTTGAAATGCCTGGGTTTTAATAATGAAACAAAGCATCGCGACTTTACAGTGATATTGACTTAAATAAACTGATTTCTTAGAATTTATAAAACTGTCTCTTATTCCGTACTGGTTTTAACTTATTCGAATGGTGCACGCAGCTCTACAGCACCCTCGGCTTGTTGGGCTTGGCCGCGCATCAAAACCCTTCAAGACATAGAATTATTTGTTTCTCGTGTGTGCGCGTACACTCAACGGCCTCTATCTGCATTTCCCGTCGCACATTTCTCGCAACGCATCCCTCAATGTAGTCTGCGGCCGAAGGTATCTTTGGTTTGCAGAAAAAACTCGTTACCATCTCTGAGACGGTGACGTATCAAGCACAATACACTGATGGTTTACTCCAGGTGTTGAAATAATAATGTACAATCGCGTTAAAGTAGGGAAAATTGTGTGGATGAAATTTTTGCTCATGAGAGAGAAATCTAAGGTAAGGAATCATTCACATCGCCTTCATAAAAATAGGCTGAGGCATGATTCATTGCCTCTTGTTGCACTGGATAACAGTCTGGGAATGAAGGGAATAATAGTGTTTCCTTCGGCAAATTTTTGTCTTTAAAAATCACAGCAATTTACATTATATGTATTGCTCCAAAGGTAATGGATCAGAATCGTACACATATATTTTACATACTGTATTGAAGGTTAGGGTCACGCCTGGGAGGAAGCAACTTGCAACACGCCTTGGTCACCTGGGTTGTCTCAGCAGGCGGTTACACCCAAGACTTGTAGTAGGTGCTAATAGTGTCGGTGTATTCAAAATAAACTACCCTGCCCTGTCAAATCCCGCCCTGTCCCATCCCACCCAGCAACGCACCCAGCCTAGCCACGGACTGCCTAGCCATGGTTCGCCTAGCCACGGCCCTCCCAGCCGCGGCCAGCCCTATTCCGCCTCAGCCCGCCATGCCACTCCTGTAAACAATGCAGCATCATTTTAGTGCGGGGTTAAATGAATACTTAAGCGTAAATTTTTACAAGAAACTTTCCTTCAGAACTAAAATCAATAACCAGCACCAACTATACCCTGGATAGTCAGAAGATCATTATTGCATTATCTAAAAAAGTACATTAAAGTCTCAAGACGTTCGTGTTTACAAATATAATAATAGGGTTCATCTCTTTCGGCAAATATCCGGTTACATTTTCGGATAGTGAATCATTGTTGTTTTCTTTCTAAAAAATCGAAAACATCGCACCAGTAGTTCATTTTGTTGTGAAACATTCACATACACAAATTACTTTTTACTTTCTCGTCCTTACTTCGTTAGAAGAAAATGTATTGTAACTGTTAGTCCGTCTAGCTGTGAGTTTGTTCGTCTGGCAGTGTATTTGTCCGTGAGGCGGTGTGTTTGTCCATCTGGCCGTGTATTTGTCCGTTTGGCGGTGTGTTTGTCAGTCTGGGCGTGTTTGTCGGTCTGGCCGTCGGTTTGTCGGTCTGGCCGTCGGTTTGTCGGTCTGGCCGTCGGTTTGTCGATTGGGACTCAAGCTGGTTAGTCGTCTAAGCTGGTGGAGTTTGTTCGGTCTGGCAGTGTATTTGTCCGGTGAGGCGGGTGTTTTGCCATCTGGCGTCCGACTCACTTCCTCCCGTATATGGGGCGGTGAAAAAAGTTTTGCTCAGCTCTGCCGTTGTTCGTCGCGGTCTCCTCGTCCGTCCGCACTCCCCGCGGCCGTCTTCACCGTTGGCTTTCTTTGAGGCTATAAAGGGGACGGCGTAACCGCGGCCGGCAGACAAAACGATGACGGTAATTCACTGCCGCAGCGCGGCGAGCGAAGGAAGTTTCGTCGGGAGGCAGGACGGCCTCTGCGAGAGGGACCTGTGCCTCTTCGTCTCTCTCTCTCTCTCTCTTCTGCTCTCTCGCGAGGCCCCTTTCCCTCAGCTCCGCCCGCCTGCCGCCGCCGACGCGCTGTTTCCCCTCGGGGCCGCGTTGTACAATATCAGAGCTTTACTCCGGCGGGCTTTTCTACACGGCGGGTTTGCTCGGCGGCGGCGGCGGCGGCGGTTGGTGGGCGGTGGGGGAGGAGAGGCCAGGCGGAGAACGGCGGGCGTAAGGTTAGGACGGACCAATGACATTCCGAAAGGGGTATCGCAGGATGAGACTGCGAAAGGTCAGATCACAATGGAAGAGTGAAGAAAAAAACGTTTTCGGTTGGTAACGGGCAGAGAGTCCATGTAGAGCGAAATGGATACGTGAGAGCAGTAATAAAACAACAAGAAGGGTGCATCTGGTGAAAGTAAAGCTGCGGAAGTACGGAAAAAAAAAGGTAGGGTGAAATGGGGCGTCGAGAGGCGTCTTCCTCCTTTCTCTTCTCGTCTCCTCTTCTCTCTCCTCTCGTCTCCCGTCCCTCCCGTTTCTCCCTCTTTCTCCGCCCTCTCTCTTCCCTTTCGCCTCTTCGTCTTCTCCCCTTCCTCTCCTCCGTCTCCGTCTCTCTCGTCTCGCCTCTCTGTCCCGTCGTCTCCGTCGTCTCCCGTCGTCTGTGCCGTCTATTCTCGGTCTCTTCTCTCGCCGTCTCTCCCGTCTCTTCCTCTCTGGCCTCGTTGCCGTCGGTCTGCCCGGTCGGGTCTGGCCCGTACTCTGCCGTCGGGTCTGCCCGTCGGTTGGCCCGGTCGTCTGCCGTCGGATGCTGCCCGGTGCCGTCTGCCCTCGTCTGCCCGGTCCGGTTGCCCGTCGGTCTGCCCGTCGGTCTGCCGTTTCACGTCTGCCGTCGGTCTGCCGTCGGTCTGCCCGTCGGGTCTGCCGTCGGTCGCGTCGTCTCCTGCCCGTCGGCTGCCCGTCGGTCTGCCTTCGGTCTGCCCGTCGTCTGCCCGTCGCTGCCCGTCGGTCTGCCGTCGTCTGCCGTCGGTCTGCCCGTCGGTCTGCCCGTCGTCTGCCGTCGGTCTGCCGTCGGTCTGCCGTCGGTCTGCCCGTCGTCTGCCCGTCGGTCTGCCCGTCGGTCTGCCCGTCGGTCGCCTGTCGCTGCGTCGGTCTGCCGTCGGTCTGCCCGTCGGTCTGCCCGTCGCGTCTGCCGTCGTCTGCCGTCGGTCCTGCCGTCGTCTGCCGTCGTCTGCCCGTCGGTCTGCGTGCACGGTTGCCGTCGGTCTGCGCGTCTGCCGTCGAGCCTGCCCGTCGGTCTGCCCGTCGGTCTGCCTCGGTCTGCCCGTCGGCGCTGCCCGTCGGTTGCACTCAGTGCTGAGTCGCTGCAGAGATCTGCCGTACGTCTGCCGTCGTCTGCCGTCGGTCTGCCCGTCGTCTGCCCGTCGGTCTGCCCGTCGGTCCTGCCCGTCGGTCTGCCGTCCGGTCTGCCCGTCCGGCTCTGGCCGTCGATCTGCCGTCCGTCTGCCGTCCGTCTGCCCGTCCGTCTGGCGTCCTCTGCCCGTCATTCTGCCGTCCGTTCTGCCGTCCGTTGCCCGTCGTCTGCCCGTCCGCTCTGCCGTCACCGTTGCCCGTCCGTCTGCGCGTCCGTCTGCGTCCGTCTGCCGTCGTCTGCCCGTCCGTCTGCCGTCCGCTCTGCCGCGTCCTTGCCCGTCCGTCTGCCGTCGTCTGCCCTCGTCTGCCTCCGTCTGCCGTCCGTCTGCCGCCCGTCATGCCCGTGTCTGCCGTTCCGTCGCCGTCCGTCTGCCGTCCGTCTGCG